TGTGTGTGTGTGTGTGTGTGTGTGTGTGTGTGTGTGTGTGTGTGTGTGCTGGGGGGGGGGGGGGCTAATGACCTGCAGGATTACTGAGGTGATAATCGCTGTCCTAACAGATGCATTAAGTTATTAGGTGTTTTTACGCAGGAAGATGTTTTAGGACATCTGATGTTCTGAGGAAAGGTTCTGGTTCTGGTTCTGGTCTGTCCTGGTTTTGGGCTCGGTGTTCTCTGCCAGGTCGAGCCCGTCTTCAGGGGTCTGACATTTTAGTTTCACGCTCTTCGGCCCAGCTGATTTCCCTCCTCCCCTCTCAGATTTACCCATGATCCTTCACTCTCCTCCTCCTGGAGGCTCTGATGTTTGGAGTCCTCACGTCGTCGGGCGACGCAGCGTTCATCACCTGCAGCTTCGTTAGTTTATTTCCTCCATGAAGCTTCTAATAAACGTTTACCTGCCTCTCCTCAAAGCTTCATGACAGCAGCTCTGCCTGATGATCCATGTGAACTGGTCCTAACTGGTCTAAAACCAGTTTAAACAGGTCTAAACTAGTCTAATATTGGTCTAAACATGTCTAAAACAGTTCTGAACTGGTCTAAAGGTAGTCTAATACTGATTTAAGTCAGTCTTACCAAATCTAAACTGGTCTAAAGAGATCTAAATCTGGTCTAATACTGGTCTAAACTGATCTTAACAGGTCTTAAGTGGTCKAAATAGAACTAAAACTAGTCTAAAACTGGTCTAAACAGGTCTAAACTAGCCTTAACAAGTCTAATATGGGTCTAAACAGGTCTTAAAAGGTCTAAACTAATTTGAAACTGGTCTAAAATGGTCTAAACAGGTTTAAACAGATCTGAACTGGTCTAAAAGTAGTCTAATATTGGTCTAATCTGGTCTTAACATGTCTAAAATGGTCTAAACAAGTCTGAACTAGTCTTAATAAGTCTAATACAGGTTTAAACAGTTCTTAACAGGTCTAAAACTGGTCTAAACTCATTTAAACCTTTTAAAACCGGTCTCAACTGGTTTGAGCTTGTTTAAACTTGTTTAGACCAGTTTAGAAACAGGTTTAACATAAGCTTAAACAGGTCTAAACTGGTCTAAAAGTARTCTAATATTGGTCTAATCTGGTCTTAACAGGTCTAAAACTGGTCTAAATTCATTCAAACCTTTTTAAAACTGGTCTCAACTGGTTTGAGCTTGTTTAAACTTGTTGGGACCAGTTTAGAAACGGGTCTAAACTGGTCTAAAATTGGTTTAAAYTGGTTTTACAACTCTGACACTTTATCCTTTGTTTCTTWACAAAAGAAGGAACCAAATGAAGCAAAGCTGCAAAACAAGCAAACCTCTGAGGATCCTTTCACCCAACCCTGTCCGGGACCAGGACCGGGACCAGGACCAGGACCAGGACTCCTCAGAGTCAGGACAGGAGGGAAGAAGGATGTGTTGCCGGGCCGAGGACCAAGCTGACCCCACCTCCCCTCCACCAAAAAATACTTTTCTGCTCCATTTACCTCCTTTACAGCTGCAGGACAGCAGGTCCAGAGGGCCCGTCGACGAGCCAGAACCGGGGCTGAGAGGCAGAGGAGGTGGAAACGGGTCATAAAGGTTCTGGAGAAGACCTGAGAGAACACACACAAACACTTTGAAACGGACAGGATTCTGCTCAGTTCAACAAAAACACATGAAAAAYGTTTTTAATGCGTGTTTTTCTGGTTGTTTTTAATTTAAGCAGAATTTTCTGTTTTAAACATTCAAAAGTTTTATTTTTGATCCGGCGTGCAGTGACTAACATCCCTTTTTATCTGTTCCACCACTGTGACCTGTAAAAACAGAGGGATCACAACCAGCGACTCAGCAGGTTCTGCTTCCAAAGAGCAGAACAAACAGGAGGGTTCCACAGGAAACAGGAAGAGCTTTCAAAATAAAGCTCATAGAAATGCATCAAAATAATCCCAAACTTTTCTGCTGTAGAGAAGAACACATAAAACCTTTCTTGTTGATTTTAAGTTTTATCTTGTTGTGATAAAACATTTTATTTAAATAAAGATTAAAGTTTTGTTTGTGGATCATCAGATCAGCTCATAAAAACTTTATTTCCAGCTGTCACTCAGGAGTGAAACTCTTGCTGCTCTGAGCTGCAGACAGATGGATTTTCTGACTCCTCGATCCGTGTGGCCCCTGCTGTGTGGTCCGGTCCACCGGGCCCCGCCGGGCCCCTCAACAGGCCCTTTATGTTAATCACATCATAATGTTATTTACATCAATCGATGAGCGCGCTCGGCGGGCTGAGGTCAGGAGCCGCGGGGGGGACGGGTTACATTAGCATCCTGTCAGGTGGTGGGTGGGGTGGTGGGGTGGTCTCACATCGTGGAGGCCGGGCCCTGTCCTGGTCACGCCGGCGGCCCCACGCGGAGCCTCGGAGCGTTGACCTTTTCACCTCAGCAGCCGTCAGACTGACAGCGAGTCTCAAAGCTCGGAGCGGCGCTGTCAGGAGCTCAGAAATCACCGGGACTTATTCTCCGAACACGTCTGTTAGCGACAAACTCTGTGACCTTTACGCCCCGAACACACCCGGCCCGACCCTCAGCCAGGTCTGAAGATACAAAACTTTACTTCAACTCAGGAGCTGATGGACSCGCTGCAGGACACCCTGTCCTCTGCTCCTTTTTACAGCATTTAGTGACAAAAAGAACAGAAAAACCTCAATGAACAAAAACTAAACCAGGGTTCCTACAGCTTAGGTTCAATTTATGACCTCAAATAAAATTTAAAAATAACTTCATAATAAACACAAATGGAATAAAAACTCGATTAGCAACATTTTTTGACTCTGAAAACTGGATGAATGTCAAGTGTGATTATAGATTACTGGAGCAGGAGGACGACTAAATAAGTTTCAGGTCTTCCCTGTTCACACATGTTAAATGGGATTTATGTTATGTGTGTGTGTGTGTGTGTGTGTGTGTGCGCGTGTGTGTGTGTGTGTGTGTGTGTGCGTGTGTGTAGATATAGACAGGGGTACACTGGGTTTATACTTATTTTACAGGGTCATTGTTCAGTTAAAATAGTTTAATTTACTGATCTAAAATTTATTTAACAACACATATTCAAATGTGTGTGTGTGTGTGTGTGTGTGTGTGTGTGTGTGTGTGTGTGTGCGTGTGTGTGTGTGTGTGTGTGGATATAGACAGGGGTACACTGGGTTTATACTTATTTTACAGGGTCATTGTTCAGTTAAAATAGTTTAATTTACTGATATAAATTTATTTAACAACACATATTCAAATATGTGTCTGCACATGTGTGTAGGTATATATATAGATGTACAGAATACAATGAATTTGACGTGTCTGAAATGAATAAATCAATAATAAAACATAAAAAAAATTCCCAAACGTTCATTTTAACACAAAACAACGAGCTGCGAGAGGCAATGAAATAATAAATAAATGTCACCAACATTTTTAAAGATTTGAGACAAATTACAGTCATCCTACGTACAATGTGTTAAAAATTGTAAGACCTCTAAAAGACTGATTTAAAATATTTTAAGGCTAAYCAAGGCTTTGTTTTTGGATTGATAAATTGAATGCCTTTTTAAGGATCTGCAGGAACCCTGGAAAAAACAAACAAACCATTGAACACTGATGAAAGAGAGAAAACAAAATTTCCCTCAACTCAGTCAGTTTTACAGATATTTACTGCAAAAACTGTCTATAYCAAGGTTTAAAATCTTATATCCAGCCATAATAAATTTTTTTGATTTTGTTTTGAGACTGATTTACTCAACAAGAACAGAATGTGTCAGATTATTATTCTAGATTATTTATCATTAGCTTGGAAATTTGAATCAAATTAAGTGAAAAATTCTGCCAATAGAGGAAGAAAATTGTACTTGTTAATTAGAGTTAAAGTACCGTATTTATTCAAGTATAATACATAAAATTTAATCCATAAAATCATGCACAAAGTTGGGGGG